CTGCCGTTATATGGGCAATATGTAACTTTTTGACGTGTACTGTTGCCGTTATATGGGCAATATGTAACTTTTTGGCGTTCACTGTTGCCGTTATATGGGCAATATGTAACTTTTTGGCGTTCACTGCTGCCATAGTCTAGGGAACATTCTGTATTAATACTGCATATAATTTGTAATAATACTGCATATAATTTGTAATAATAATGCATATAATTTGTACACTTTGAACCCCCTTTTAGGCTGAAAGGGACTGACAAAATTCATACCGAGGGATTGTCTAAATTCCACTCTAATATATTCTGTTCTCTTTCACTATAAGGCAGAACACCAAATGCTATACCCTTGGATTATCATATTTGGTTAGATTATGGTCTTCATTATAGTTTTATTCTTTGTGGATAACCCTGTTCTTATTCATTAATTTATCTTTTTTATTTTAGATCAATTTTAACGAGTTCTTCGCTATGATGATGGCTGACTGAAGTAATTTTATTAACTTATTTATTTATTTAATTATTTTCCATTAGTTTAATGTTGTAATTATCAGTCGTAATTGTCATATCGTAATAAATGTCTTTATTATTCCACAATAATCAATAATAATGTTTTGATACAATTACGCTAATTGGTTTAGTTTTCTGAGATCCATACTTTTGAATGAGAAAGCGCTAATCCACATCACATAAACATGATCTACACAGCGAAAACTATATTTAAGTTTGACGCGATTAATTGCTATACGTATTTTTGGGTTCACAAAATAACCGGATTTGTTCTGTCTGAACGGACTAGTAAAGGAGTTGAGTCTTTGTCACAAAATCTGATTTTCTAATCCTATCATCTTTGTAACTCAATGTCGTAGAACTTTTATATTACATGATTTCTGAGAGATCGAATAATCGAAGTTTGAAATATAAAAAGGTCTACTCCAACAACTTGAAAAAATAGGAGGAATAGAAAATTTGAGTTTAAGGNTTGTTTTTGAGAAGTGGTTAATTCTGATAAATTCTTCGTTATTTTTGAAGCAACTGATACGCTTGTTACTTTTAAACACAAAAACCACATAAAAAATATGTAATTCAATCAGAAAAAACTATTTAGGGTACTGTTGTGAGGGTCACTTGAAATTACGCTTAAACATTTCTGTTTACTTTGCGGAGACATCAAAAATATTTGATACATTAAAACTAATAAGAGAAGAGAAGAAATATCGCCGAGAATTGCTAAAAATCATGTTCTTATTCGTTACCCGGTTAAATAAAACAAACTCCCATCTGTGGTGATCCAAAGGATGGCAGCTCATTATTTTTCCAGCTCCTTTTAAAATAAAACTAAAAATGAGTAGTTTATAATTCTAAACAGGAAACATATAATTGAGTTCGTGAGCTAGAATCATAGGTAAAGGTATTGCGACTCTTAAAAGTCCCCGGTAGTCTTGAAAATTTATATAACTTTTACAAAGGTGCAGACTCAGAGTGATGACACATTTTCTTAAGGACAATTTTTTTTTGAAAAATAAAGAAAATGATGCTGATGTTGTCGGGTACCAGGTTGGACAAATAAAATTATCCTATTCTTTAAAAAGGAATGTTTATTCATCTAAATAATGTAAGGTGCGCTAAGATTAGGGTTTCCAGCGAACAAAAACTTTCGGGAAGAAATGCGAAAATTTTCGCAAAATTTTTCGCGAAATTTCTCTTTTTTTGCGAAAATGAATTCAGCGAAAAAATGCAAATTTCCGAGAAATTCTGCGAAAACTATAATTGTTGCACAAAAAAGCTTGTGAAATTCTCTGCCCTCTGAGTTCAGCATTAGAAGTTTTATTGCATCATAATTGATAATTTCTTCTCCGTATTCTTTTTTCGCAAAATTTTCGCATTTTTTCCTTGAAACTTTTCCATTAGTTTTTTAGCGAACTTTTCGCATTTCTTTCTTCGCGAAAAAGCGAAAACTTTCGAATTTTTCTCTAGCAAAGGAAATGCGAAATTTTCGCGAAACGATTTACCCTTTTCGTTGGAAACCTAAGCTTGCGAAGACATGTCGAAGATATCACAGAAACTATATATGTAAAAAAGAAATGAAAATTTCAAAGATCTGAAATGCTATGCATATTTACATGTATATTCATGACTGCAGGTCAGCTTTAAAGTGCTTCAATTTGGCCTTTGATTTGACCTAAATAAAACCCTTTTACTTATTTGTAGCACTAGATGTGTACCTTTTATAACTTAATAGAATTATGTCTCTCTGGAAGTCAAAATTCAGCTTTAAAGGTTGTTTTTAACTTTTATAAACGGCTTTTCCAGGATGTACACTGCATTATGAAAAGCTATAAAAAGTACAAATTGTGTCCTCAGATGCTCATAAAAGTTCAATAACGAATTTTCCAGTCGTCTGTCAACTAGTATGCTTAGTAGTTGTACGGTATAAGTATATTGATCTAAAGATTTCAAGCTTAATGCTAAAATTTTGCATATTTCTACTTAAAAAGTAAAAACTAAAGCTGAAAAGAAGTGCTATAGAGTTTATAATGTTTAAGGCCAAGCCATTGCTACACTTAAACCGGAACCAGTCTTGAAAATTGATGCAACTTTTTATAGCTGTCTAGCTTGATCTATGTGTACTTTGTACTAAATTATCCAAATATATAAATTAAAGAATTCCTAAAATTAGTTTGACCTAAATACATGTTTACGCTATATTGATAAATAAATGACCTTGTTAATCAATAATCATTTAAATGATTGATAAGTGAGGTGAGGGGGAGTAAAGAG